GCTAGGATTACAGGCGTGAGCCACCGCGCCCGGCCTCAAACTGAAACTTCTTAATACTCACGTCTGGCTCTCACTCCAGACTTAGTAAAATGCTATTTTGAAGAAGTGCACAGGTGACTCTGATGCACTGTCAGGACTGAGAACCAAGGGGTTAGACTTAGTGGGTTAGGGGCACTAGACTTAAGCATCTGGGTTCCACTTCTATTTCTTATCCTAAATAGCCAAGTCACACAGCTTCTTTATGCCTCAGTGTTCTAAGCTATAAAACTTGGGTTTTATCATGGATGATCTCTGGGATTCCTTCAGTCTTTAGAAGTCTAATTCTATGACTAAAAGATTACTTGACTGGCCGAGCGCGGTGGCTCACGCCTGTAATCCTAGCACTCTGGGAGGCCGAGGCGGGTGGATCGCTCAAGGGCGGCAAAACTTGTCAAATTGTACATTTAAAAATCTATTACTTAAACCAACCAGATCACATTAAATAATTTCCTATTTTAGATATATGATCTTTTCTTTGATTTTTTTCAATATAATGAGTCATTATCATTTTTATACTGACTGATACATTCATTTTTATGAGAAAAAGAAGCCATTCAATAATCTATATGTCTACAGCATGTTACTCTAAAGACATCATGATTAAAAGCCACAATTGGCTTATCTTTTAAAAAACAGTAGTGCTAACTTATTTAGTTCATTACTGGTTATTTCTAAAAGCTGAACAGCTATGAGATATGAAATTCTGAGTTTGTATTAAAAACCATTGTCGCAATCAAGCCAATTATTATTTGCAGCACTACACTTGCAAGAATTATGCCTTTCTCATTTGACATTGAAAAGATTCAAGGTCTTTGGTGAAAATTGAATACATACATATCTGCTATCTCAGGTTAGTCCATTTTAGTCTCCTAGGACTTCTTACCCCTATTCATCAATATATCATCAGTCATTCCAAACATGCTGTGCAGGATTGCTCGAAATGTGTTACGGTCTAGCCCCATGTTATCAAATCTTCCATCAGTTCTGCCCCCCAAGTGGTGAAAAAGTCTTATGAGACACTCTATTTCACTTTTTTTGACTGTAAAATAAAAAGACAAATAAATACAACTTAGCTTTAATCATTGAGTTATTCAACCCAATTAAATACATTTTACTAAGCAGCTATTTTGTTTCTATGATGCTAGGTGCCCTGATGATAGGGAAAAAATATGATATGGACTTGCTCCTTAGCTTACACAGTGAAGGTGGGCTTCACTCAGAAGTCTCATAAGATAGTATATAACTGCTAAATTATGTAATATAATGCTCACCGTCATAGACATGTGAAGAGAAATCAGTATGGGAAAGATGGGTTTGGACATTTTCATGGGAGAAGTAGACTTTGAATTGGGCCTTGAAGGATGCAGATAGTTATATAGGAAGGAATGTGCTGAGTATGGTAAAGAAGTGAAGAATTCTAGGGAAAGGGGACAACATGAGTAAAGGAAAGAGGTAGAATTAGGGTTGAGATTGAACACGCTTTATTGAGAGCTAACAAGGACTTGGGAAGAAGTGAACAATAAGGTTGATGGTAGAGGGCCTTGAATGCCTGGTCAGAGAATTAATATTTATTGTAATGGAGCAGCATTTCTCATGGTGTCGCTTTTGGACCATCTGTGTGAGAATCAACCCCCTCTCCACTGCCCCATGCTTGTTAAATATGCAGATTCCCAGGGCTTTCCCCAGATCTGCTAAGCCAAAATTGCTAACAAGGGGCCCAGGAATTAGAATTTAAACAAGAGCTCAGTTCAAACTCTTCTATGCCCTAGAGGTTGAGAATCTTTGGGTTAAGCCATTGAAGATTTTGGACCAGGGCAGGGCCATAACAGTAAAAATAGTTCAGGGAAATCCATCTGGTGAAGTTGTATTGAAGGAGGAAGGCTGGAAGCATGGAAATGGGGCTTGGAGGAATAGGGCTTGGGCTAGGGAGGTGGAAATGTACTATAACAGAGGCAATGTTGTACCGGCTGTCTCTTTAAAACCCCCTCACCCTTTTGGGGAATTAAAACCTGCATTTCTGCCTGACACTAGTAATCAGAGGGGCAGGGGAGTGTTCCTTGTTTTCTTGTACCACAGCAAACGGCTCAAGGGAATTGTCTGGGCAGAGGTCACGAGACGGTCTTCGCCAGAGATGCTATAGTTAAACAGCAATAGCGGAAAGCTGAAAAGTCCTTTTAAAAGCTCTGTATTTCTGCTTATAGAGAGGATGATGGTCCTTTAAGAGGAGAATCTGCCATCCTACATATTTGTGGGCAAATTAATAAACTTCTTTTTCCTTTTCCTCAAACTGCTTGTCCTCTTTCGGCCGTTGGAGACAAGTACCAAATTTTCAGTAAGAGAAGTAAGGACAGAAACCTGGGGAGGGAGCCTGAGATGCTGCAAAAAATCAGTAAGACTTTGTGTCTGATCAGATCTGCAGTTTTCAAACTGAAACTTCTTTTTTTTTTTTTTTTTTTT